CTCCGAATATCATTCATGCAGAAGACATTCCCGAGTTCAGACTGGCATCGTATAGAGGGTACGCCACACTTCTGGCGTAGTTTCTCTTGTGTATGGCGAAGCTTGTAGAGCGAAGGGACATCACGGGCACCTGTCTCCTTGAGAGTCCAAAGAAATACCTGCATGAGTGAATTGGAGACAGGGCACCGAGGTAGGTTATCGATGGTATCAAGAAGAAACATCTGTAATACAAGAGTGTGTCAACTAAGATCAGGTTCATAAGCACTAGACTCACTGTCTTTGACTCATACGGAGCCCATTGGTTTGACGACGCAGCATCAGCATCGCTTGGCGCAAAAGCAGGCAGCTCATAGTTAGCTGCATCCTCTACAGACAGCGGGTCCAGTTCTATTATGCAAGAACAGAAGCATCAGTATCTGAGTTGTTACACAAGGACGAGCAGGCAAGATGCATACTGGTGCTGGCAAGAAGGTCTGCTAGAAGTTCGTCCGGGTCCTCAGAGCCAAGGCGAAGCTCGAGGAATGGATCAGAGCCAGGGCTTTCATTCCCGAAGCCTAGGTCCTGAGCTGTGGAATGGGCGTTCCAGATTCCAAAGGCCTCTGCATTCTGCTTGAGTTGACGTTGACTCTCTGCCGCTGCCAAATCAGGATTCTCTCCGGCATTAAACATGAACGCGTGTGGATCCTGTGAGAAGTCAGCCCAGAACTCCTCTTCTGCTGTGCTGGATGCATTTCTCGCTAAAGCAGGCTGTCTAGGTTGTATCAAGTTAATTGATTGCAGTGCCAATGAAGCCCCAGCCCTTCGCTGTTCTCTGCGGTTGAGTGTTTCGGCGATGGCTGCAACTTGAGCTCCTCGGCGCTCATGCTCCTCTACCGCTTCCACATGGGACCTTCCCTTGATGTGAGCCGCCACACTCTTCTTGCAAATTGTTGGTCCTCCCTCTTCAGGAGAGCAGAGAACACAGCGCACTTCGGAGCCGTCTCCTGAAGGCATAAAATCTGGCTGCCCCGTAAGCATTGTTGCTTGCCTAAATTTCTATAAAATAAACTGACATTTCTTGTACAATTCTTGGCGAGACATGCTTCCAGGACGTGAACACCGACAGGTGAAGTAAAAAATGGAGACGGCTTATGATGTGCGTGGTTTCACTCACGCCAATGGATCGCGCGCGGCCTTTATTGATTGAGACATGAGCAGTCCTTCAAAAGGCCACCAACTGACCACAATATAAAACCACAGAACGGCACACCATTCTTCCTCTTGAACACACATCGACATGCCCTCTGCGTCTTCTGCAACTGCCTTCCGTGATGAGCTTGAACAGTTTGCTAATGCCAACAGCTCGCCACCTGGCAGCCCCAGGCAACCGGCCACGGTTCTCGGAAAACGAATCCGCCCCGCTGAGAGCACAAGTGATTCGGAGGAAGAGGACACTAGCACTATCAGAGGCCGCTCTCGAGATCCTACTACCAGTCAAGATGATACTTCCCCTACCCACTCTACAGCACAGCCCGCAGCTAGTACCAACACAGTCAACCGGAACGTCCTCGAGTACGCCAAGAGACTGGGAGCAAAAACGAAGCTTCGTGCCGAGCAGCAAGAGAAGCTCAATTCTTTTGCCACGGTATGTCTTTCTATTGGGCCACCCTCAATTCATAGCTAGCGGGCTTACAGTTTTCGATGTAGGACTCTTCGGCCACTCGGGAGATGAAGACCTTCTCACTTCTACTCGCCATTCAGCAGCGGCAAGACGAGTTTATCACTATGCAGGCTCCATGGGAGCCCTCGGACGAACTAATTGTAAGCATGGTACGCCCCGTTCAACTGTATTCGGTGCCGGCTGACTTTGCGGCAGGCCAACATCCAAAACTACACAATGGGCATGTTACTTTCCAGCCGGCTCGCAACATACAAGGGTGTCGTGCCCAACAACTATGTTGCGGTATGTCCTTATATTTGGGTGTTTCTATGTACTACTAATATCTGTATATCTGTCTTACAGGGCATCCTCAAACGCTATCGGTTCGACTTGCCAGCAGATATCGAGCGCAACCATGGCCACTGGTCCAAGGTGATTAAGGCCATCCAGAATGAAATGACCGAGCAACGGGCGAAGATCAAAAAGACAGTAAGTCGAACTTATTCCAGATCTTCTTGACATGTCAGTAGTGTGCTAATGCTTGTCTCACTTAGCTCCGTGCTGGCACTGACGGTGATGACCATCAGGAACACCTCAACATCTTCAAGCTCACTGTTGAACTCTGCGAGGGCACGTCATGCAAGCCGTCTGTTCAGCTCTGCGCAAGAGTGGCACTCCTAGTACGTGCTCGCCTCTCGTTCAACTTCTGATGCTTGGCAATGATTAATGCGGACCATCTGTAATAGCGGAAGACATTCTTGACGAATCCCAACCGTGACTTCTGGGATGCAGCCAACAAGAACCTTGCAGAGATTCGCAACGTGGCCGGCAGCAATCCCAAGAAGATGACCAAGATTTTTAGCAAGATCTTAGTGAATGATCGGGCTACTCACGGTGTCACTGAGGAGGGTGAAGATAGCGACATTCAGGAACAAGTTCCGGAGTGGCAGCAGGCTGTCGATGAATTTGTCGGTGGTCAAGTTTAGTTTTACGGCAGTGTCACAATGTATTATATTACCGCAATTGCAAGCACTCAATGAAGTTATCGTTACATTAAGGCCGTCTGATACACCCGCTGTACGCTGTCGACTACTCCGTGAACTCGGCAAGATGACAGACTATCAGAGTTCGAAGGTC